GAGACAGAGAAAAAAATACTGCGTGGAGAAGAAAGAGGGGGAGCTAGAGTTTGTGTAGAAAAACAAATACCCATCCCACAGCACTCTCCAGAAACCCTGGCTCTCCCACCACTACTACAAAAATAGTGATTGGACAAAAGCCCAGATTTCCTCTGCTCTAACCGCAGAAGTGAGAATATCATGGCCAGGCAGGAGGGGTTTGAAGAAACTGGTCCAACCCATGTTTTGCCTCAATCTCCTTCCCTGTTCAGATGAGTCTGTATCATGAAATGCGCTAGTCCGAACTCTTCTTGAACTTTAAGAAGTACGTCCCTTGTCAATCACTGCCATCTCTTTTTCAAGTCACTGCTCCCTCTTTTCACCCTTACAAATAGATACATGAGAAATGTCAGTGCCTCCTTTTTTCTCTTTTCCCTCTTTCTACTCAGGACCTCTGGAAGCCTAGTCAGTGGTCTTAACCACTGAACCATCTCTCCAGCCCCTCAACTACTTCTACACCACATCATAGTTCAAACCTACGGAGGCAATACTTAGACCGGTATTGACCAAGGTCATCTTGGCCCATCTATGAAGAGGTATATTCCCTCATCTCCATTCCTAGCAAGAGCTTGTTGGACTCAACTTCAGGATGGGTGTTATGTGAAGCTTATATTCTGGCTGTGGGGCAGCGTGGAATATGGAAGACATTCCTGAAAGGGGCCAGGGGCTGACTGACATTGAGGACTGGATCACTCATCTTTTTGAAGGGCTAGCTCTTTCTGATCCCCTTTCACCATATAAATCTACCTACTCTCTCAATCACAGAAGTATTCTTTAAACTCAATCGTCTCTAAATTTATTTATTTTTATTTCATGGCTCTCCGTGATTTGTCTGCATATATGCCTGTGCACCCGCATGCCTAGTACCCACAGAGATCATGTTGCGGGATATTTTGATCACACTCTGACACTCCCAAGACTGCCCAATAAAGTTTAACTTGACTTAGGGGGCGGAGCCAGTGACCAGCTCACCAGAATTGGCCAGGGGTAAGCAAACAATTTGGATAGAGAAGATGCACAGAAAGGAAAAGGGCGGGGACTGGAGTTTGAGCTTCCTCTTGGTTGTGGGATGAGGGAAGAGATGCATCTCTTGCGGTGTCTCCCTCCAAAAAACAAGATCAGCTAGCTGCTATTCAGCCTCTCTGAGCTAGCAGGTTGTACCCCAGCCTTTGACTTCTGAGTCTGATTGATAAATATAATGATAAAGATTTAATTTAAACCTACATATCACAGCTGCAGCATAACCGGGGGCTAGGGACTGGAAGCCTCACCAATCTGCCCCTGAGTGGCCAGCTGGTGGCTGACTGAGGGGCTGTGGGGCTGTAGGTGATCATTAGAATACAGTAGATTCGTGTGCAGTCACTAAGCCGGCAGAGAAACATCAATACCCGAAGTAAGTATTGGATTCCATAAAACTGGAGTTGTAGATTGTTGTGAGCTGCCATGTGGGTGCTGGGACTCAAACCCGGTTCCTCCGGAAGACCAGCTAGTGGTCTTAAATGCTGAACCATCTCTCTAGCCTTCAATACATTTTTGGGGAAAAAAAATTTCTCTTCCTCTTCCTGCCACTCCCCTCCCTTGTGACAGGCTCTGCTGCTACATCACAGTAAATTTAAGGCTAGCCTGGCTACACAAAACCTTGTCTCAAAAGAGGAGGAGGAGCGTTGGGTAGTGGTGGTACATGCCTTTAATCACAGCACTCAGGAGGCAGAGACTGGTGGATTGATGAGTTAGTGACCAGCCTGGTCTACAGAGAGTGTTTCAGGACAACACAGAGAAACACTAGCCCGATCCTCAAGTTTCCACCTTCCAAGGAGAAAAGTTCATTGTGTCAGTCTAGTGAGCAAAGTAGTTTCTTAAAAATTTGTGAAAGTGATTTACAAAGTAAATTGCCAAGTGCCCTAAGGAAATGTGAGAAGGGCTATCATAGTGATTTACCTTCAAAAACCCAACCAGGGCTCCTCTTTCCTGAGCTCTGAGGGTGCTCAGCTTCCAGGCTCAACCTCTGCAAAGTCCGTTTTGCCCTTATAGTTCCTTGTACTATCCCTTTGTTTCTGGTTGTGCACAGGCAATGCACAACCTCCTCCCAGGAGGCAATGTGAGCTCTTTAAGGACACGGTCATATATCATTTGTGTTTTTATTTATTTATTTATTTATTTATTTATTTATTTATTTATTTATTTATTTATTTATTTAATATTCTGACTGTGTGTATGCCAGAAGGCCAGAAGAGGGCGCCAGACCTCTTTACAGATGGTTGTGAACCACCAGAATTTCTGGGAAATGAACTCAGGACCTTTGGAAGAGCAGGCAATGCTCTTAACCACTAAGCCATCTCTCCAACCCTATCATTTGTGTTTTTATTTTACCTTCGCTTGAACAGAGCTTGGCTTGTACAATAAGATCATAGTATTAAGGTCCATAAGCATATGGTCTAATTTTACCGGCTAGAAAAAGCAACTGCAGATCACCTTAGTTTTATCCCACTCTCCTGTCCCCGCCTCTTCCTGCCTGGTTGGTAGCAGGACCGTAAGACCCACCAGAGAACAAGAACAGCAGGGGGAGCCTTGCTTGCTAGAGAGAGGAGTGAGGCCATCCCTTCCTGGCCTGCTGCAGAGTGAGCAGGCAGGCACTGTGCTGGGTGGTGTAAAGAACAAGGCACCTCGTGAAGCTCTGTCTCATAGAGAACCTGATCAGCAAAGCCTCGCTCTGTAGCTGGCTTTTTTGGACAACCAGCCCCCAAATCATGACATGGAGACTTGTTATTAACTATGAATACTCGGCCTTAGCTTAGGCTTGTTTTTAGCTAGTGGTTTTTTTTTTTTTTTTAACTTAAATTAACCCACTTCTATTAATCTACGTGGTTCCCTGAGGCTCGTTTACCTCATCTACATACTGTCCTTTTTGCTTTCCAGTTTCTTCCATGTCTGGCTGGCTGAGCACCCAGCTGGCTGGTCCCCTTTCTTTTTTTTTTTTTTTTTTTTTTTTTTTTTTTTTTTTGGCCTTGTTT